TTTCAGTAATTACCTCAATTCAAAGAAAGAATTTTGCTTTTTACAAACATATGAGCTAAGTATATTTTGGAAGTAGTATTGAGCACCGATATGGGGATGCGAGTTCATATCAACGTACTGATGCCAGTTGGCCTGCATCTTCTTATGATGCAGACGCAAGTAACCAGGATCAGTATCCAGCGCCTCGTTGATCCGGCTGAGCACTCAGAGTCAGTGGTGAGCCTCATTGCATTACAGAGGACTCTTTTATTCGCTTTTAGTCTTTCATTATTAGGATGTTGTGGGATCTATCCCAACATCCATCTCAGTATTATAGAGTCTTCATAGACAGTCAAATAGTTAGTTATGAGTCTCTCATCTATGTATTTGCAGATACTTTGTTTTGAGACAAAAGTTGCCAATTTGGCTAAGATGTTATCATTTAAACTAATACATGAGTTTATTTTGTTGAGTTAAGCCTTCCGCTGAGTTAAGTAAGCCAGTCCAAGGGTTCGCTTGGGGCCAGCAATGGTCTCTGAGTGCCATTCTCACCCAGGGTGTAGGCTTAGGGAGTGACAATTCTCCTCAAGATGGGGCACCTAGCCCATTCTGCAGATGTGCGGGCTTCCCAGCTAGAGGCCGAGGTGCCTTGGATGATTGAGCGAGCTATTTTAGCTATTTTGACACCCCTATGGACATCTATTGATGCTCTCACAACGAGAGTAGAGACTTGTGAGAGTCGACAGGGGATTACTATTGAGGTTACGACTTTGAAAGTCGAGGTTTCTGAGTTGAGGAAGTATGTGGACCATTTGAAGTCCATAGACTTCACTTCACTGTTTGAGTCAGCAGAGGTCCCTGAGGTTCCGGGTACAGATGTCCCGTCCAGTTCATATATGCCTCTGGCTACCACCGGAGATTATACTATGGAGGATGTGACTGTTGTTGAGTCAGAGGAGGAGACTGATAAGGAGCAGCTCGAGGTTCAGGAGGCGGCCATCTATAGGGACCAACCTGATTTGGAGGAGACGATAGTACAGTCAGTCATTCATACATCATTGACAGAGACATCCAGAGCTACAGTTGTTGAGACCCCGGGCACTGATGCCCCGACAAATGGTGCGACTGAGTAGACAGGATCATCCTTTCCTCCCTCTCTGTTGTTTTTATTGATTTTTTGTGTTGTTAGTTGTATTTGAGGACAACTGTTTTTCTTTTGTGGGTGGGGTGAGGTATTTCCATACCTACCTCTTGTGTTTTGTTTTTGTTTGTGAATATTGGTGAATATTGGGTTTTGTGATCTAGAATTGTGTTTTAATAGTTTTGACGAGCCGGTTATCGAATGAGTCTCTTGTGATGAACCACTATTAAAAAACTACTAAAAAAAGACAGACATAAATGCGACGCCATTTGCCACATTGTCTGCCGCTTTTTAATAAAAAAATGTTTTATTTAAAAAAGCGACAGACGGCATCGCTTAGTTCATCGCTTTTTTCATCGATTTTAATGCCAACTATATATATAATTAATAATTAATTGTTTGATTTTTTTTAAAGAAGCGACGGGCATCATCTCAAAGTTTGTCGCTTTTTGGTCAAACATGTAAGAAAAGCGACGGACAGCGTCTATTAGTCCGTCACTTTTTGGTCAAAATATCGGTCAACTATTTTTTTTTAAAACGAAGGACAAAGAGACGTTGTCCGTCGCTTCTTTTAAAATACCTTTGACCAGATAGGGATTTCCATATTTGTTCTCTCTCTCGCTTCTTCTCTCTTCACTCTATTTTCTCCCTTCTCTCTACATTCTGTCGTCGTCGCCTCCAGTCGCCGCCGCCCCAGCTCATTCCCTCCATGCCTGCCAGTCGTTGACGCCGCTGCCTCTCTCCTCTTTGTTAAGGTTAGTTCCAAATATTTGGTTTTTTTCAATTCTTGTGATTATAGTTAATTTTTAGTTAGTATATTATTATTTTAGTTTATTGGGTTGTGTTTAATCAATTGTTAATTTGATTTGATTATTGTTAGTTAGGTATATAGAATTGAAGATTTTTGAATTTAAGGTTTTTTGTTAAAATTAGGCATGTTTTGAATTGGGCATTGTTAGTTAGTGAATGAATTAGGATTTTTGTTAGGGTTTTCAAGATTTTGAATTAGGATTATTATTAGGGTTTTGAATTGAAGATTTTTGAATTTAGGATTTTTTTAAAATTTTGATTGATTGTTAGTTAGTAAAGTGTTAATTTTAAGTTAGATTAGTAATTGAAGTGTTTAGAGTAGTATATGATGAGTGTTATGAATATATATTAATGATTAGGTATTTTTTTTTGAATTAGAACTTGATCTATAATTAATTGTTTCGATTAAAAGTTTATATATAACTTATTTTATAGATTAGATATGAACTTGAATTTAAAATTTGAACTTGAACTAATTGAACATGGACCATGAATATAACTATTGAATTTAATTAGAACTTGAACTAATTGAACTTAGAACTTGAATATAACAAATTATTGGATTTGAACTTTATATATAACTAATAACTTTTATGTGGACTTGAATTTAGAAATTGAACTTGAATATAACTAATTCTTGGTGACCTTAATTGATTAGAACTTAATAATTAAACTTAATTAGAACTTGAACTTAATTTGAAGTTAATTAGTTAGAAACTTTGAACTTAATTTATAATAAATTGAACTTAATTAGAATTAATATAATTAATTATTTGAAAATCTTAAAACTTTATTAAAATTTATGAATTAATTAAGCTTGCACTTTGTATATTAACAATTAATTAATGTAGTAAAAATTATTATTAAATTTAATTTATTAGTATAAATTGAATATCTATATTTTGTAGATGGATCATCGTTTGTGGATGTATAATATGCATTATGAAACTGGTGATGGTTTGAAACATGAGTTTATTGACGGTGTCAGAGATTTTATTCAACATACAATGACACTTGACATTTTCAAGAATAATGGATTGGTTAGGTGTCCTTGTATTGCATGTAAGTGCTTAATTTTTTTTAAACCAGATACAGTTATGGTTCATTTGTACCGTAATGGATTTAAGCCTAGATATTTTGTATGGACTGATCATGGAGAAAGAGATGGATTTGATGGTATGTTTTATAATTCGATGCATGTGGATGAATATAATATGCTTGCACCACATGGCCAAATTAGGATTGAACATGATAGGGTTCATGAAATGATCAATGATGCTTTCGGGGTGCAAGGTGGGATGGTACCCAAACAATATTTTGATGAAGCTCCTAATGAAGAAGCATGACGCTTCTATGATCAATTAGAAGAGTCTAGTAATCCACTATGTGAAGGGAGTCCGCATTCTACCTTGTCAGTTGCGGTTAGATTAATGAATATTAAATCATATTGGAATGTTCCTAATGTGGCTATGGACTCAATGTTTGATCTTTTGGGTGAACTAGTTAATCCGGAGTTTAACATACCTAAGAACTTCTATCAGGCATAGCGTTTGGTTTCCAAGTTAGGATTGACGTATGATAGAATTCATTGTTGTGTTAATGGCTGGATGCTATTTTACAAGACTGATAGTGAATTAGAAAATTGTAAATTTTGTGGACATGTTCATTATAAGAGGACTCCGGCTAGAAAAATGGTCCCAGTTAAGGTGATGTATTATCTACCTCTCATTTCTAGGTTAAAGAAGTTGTATGCATCGATGAGGTCTGCCCCACATATGAGATGGCATAGTGAATATAGAAGGCCGTCGGGTTTCTTGTCTCATCCATCTGATGGTGAAGCATGGAAGTATTTTGATAATGTATATCCTGATTTTGCTAGTGAACCAAGAAATGTTAGATTGGGGTTGTGTGCAGATGGCTTCACACCATTCTCTAATGTTGCTTCGCCTTATTCATGTTGGCCGGTATTTGTTACTCTGTATAATCTTCCTCCTGAAATGTGCATGACCAGTCCCTACATCTTTCTAAGTTGGGTTATTCCAGGTCCCCGTAATCCAAAAAGTTTGATTGATGTCTATCTACAACCATTGATAGATGAGCTCAAACAATTGTGGTTTGAAGGCGTTTTGACTTATGATATATCAACTAAGCAGAATTCCATTATGCGTGCTTCTTTAATGTGGACTATTAATGATTTTCCTGCATACGGGATGTTGTCTGGTCGGATGACAACTGGAAAGCTAGCATATCCGTATTGCATGCAAAATAGTAAGGCATTCACTTTAAAGCATGGTCGAAAAAATGCATGGTTTGATTGTCATCGACAGTTCTTGCCAATGGACCATGAGTTTAGAAAGATGAAAAATGCATTTAGGAAAAATAAGGTTGAAAGTGACCTCCCACCTCCATTAGTCACAGGGCATCAAATTTGGGGGAGAGTTTCTCAATTACCTAAAATTACAGAAGCTTCACCTTCTAGACTTCCTGGATATGGTATTGAACATTGGACCAAACAAAGAATATTTTGGGACTTGCCGTATTGGAAGGACAATCTGCTATGACATAATCTTGATGTGATGCACATTGAAAAAAATTATTTTGACAATTTGTTTAACACAGTGATAGATGTTAAGGGTAAGACAAAAGACAATCCAAAAGCTAGAATGGACATAAAGGAATATTGTAGGAGAAAAGAGTTATGGCTGCAGGAATTACAAAATGGTAAAATAGTTAAGCCCAAAGGCAGCTTTTCATTCACATTGGATGAGAAACGTGAAATTTGTGAGTGGGTTAAAAATTGAGGATGTCGTAGGGCTATGCTTCAAATTTAGGAAAGCGGGCAGATATGAATGAAGGAAAATTGATAGGTATGAAAAGTCATGATTGTCTTGTGTTCATGGAAACTTTAATTCCTATCGCTTTTAGCCATCTACCCGAAAGGATATGGAAACCAATCACAGAGATAAGTCTTTTCTTAAAAGATTTGTATTTTGGAAAGTTGTTGGGAAGTAGTTTAGACAGGATGAAGGAAAATATTTTTGTTATTACTACTAAGTTGGAGAAGATATTTCTATGTGGTTTTGCCTTCTGAACAATAATATTCATCTAGATTGGTAGACTCTTTTATGACATGATGAGTAGCACCGGAGACAACAATCCATTGATTTTCTGCAACTTGGTTACCTGAAAGAAAATTGGCCTTTGCCTCTAAATGATTATGAGACTGTGACTGACAAACATTAGCAGTATGAGTCTGTTTATTGCATAACTGACAGTGAACATGGTTATTGATGTAATGCCCTTGCGTAGGAGCAGTTGTACGATTGCTCGAACGCCACTGTGAGGTGTTGTTGGGTCGATGAGCAGTGTGGTTGTTGGAATTTATAGATCTGTTGCGAGTTACCATAGCAGCAGTTATGGCACTAGTTTTTTTCTTCACTTCCTCATGTCTGAGAAAGAGATGATAATCAATTAGTTTTGCATATGACTCATCATAAGAAATGATAGAATCTCTTATTCGAATTGCAGTGGAAATCTCACAAAAATTGGACCCAAGACCACTCAAAATTTTCACAACCAGCTCATCGTTAGTGATTGTAACTACAGCAGTAGCGAGCTCATTGTAGAGAGAGAGCACTTGATGAAGATAATCAGCTACAGGATGGGAGTCCTTTGATAGACGCACGAGCTAGTCACGAAGGCTAAATATTTGTGTTTGGGACTTGTTGGCATAAGCAAGATACAGTGTCCCAAGCAAGTCGAGTAGAAGAGGAAGAACCTACAGCTGCAGTGGTTGTCAGATTGACAGAAGCCATGATGGCATTCTATATCAATTAATCTTGATGGAACCAAAGGCTATAGTTGTGTTTGCGACCTCTCTATTGTTTTGTGTGATAGTTGTGTAGGAGCTGGGGAAAAGCCATCATGATGGCCAAACAGATTTTGCTCGTGCATGAGTATGGAAATTCGGGCCTTCCAGCTAGAAGATTTTGGCTTCCAACAAGCTTTATCGGTAGATGTCACACAAGATTAAACTGATCAACAACGTTAGAGTTGCTGCTAGTGGTAGAGTCCACATTATGGACGTTCTCAGTCATGTTAAGAGAGATTTTGTAGTGGTAGTCAGAGGATAAAAAAATCTCGGAAGAGTTAGACGAGAGCTCTGAAACCATATAATGACTTGAGTAAGATGAAGCAAACGATTACTTTATTAATCAATTATAAACTGAACTATGTACGTAAACAAAATAACATAGTCCCTTCTACAGTGGAAACTATCCAGAGACCAAGGAAAATAAAATATTAGATTCCTAGAGTAGTGGAAACAGAATAGCTAACAATACAGTAAAATAATCTACCTATACAACAGTAACTATAAGAATTAAGAAGTTATAAATAATGTTCTAATAATATACATCTTCATTATATATAAGGTTGTTAAGGAAAGATATTTCTATAGGTAAATATCCATGAAAAATGAGATTTACTAGCTAGCTTGAAAGATATTGGTGACTTTGATAAGTTGATAGTATAAATCTTTTTTTACCAGTGTGCTCCTTTTGTCACAATTAATGAGGCATTTTTTTGCTTTGTGAGATTCAAACTAGGTGAACTGATCTTGCGCATATTTATATGCTTAATTACTATTATTTTTCCACATGTACCTCGTGTTTTGAGAGTATTCTTTATACTATTTGTTATGTTGTGATTGATATTGTGATGATCGCACTCTAAGACATGTGAATAGCCTATGCAGGAATTTTCGAATAGAGAAGAAAGGAATGGATGCAACTCCAAGGAGCTTGATGTTATTTCTTGAAGGTGCTTGGTTGTTTCTTTAAGCAATTGGAGCACTAATTAGTGGTGTTCGTTTGGCTTCTTCATGCTTAAGAAAGATCTCATGGTCAAGCAGTTTCTCATAAAGTTCTTTATTAGGTGATCATTGTTTCATGCAACCGGATGGCTGCAGAGATAGTGTTATAGTCGGGTTCAAGGCCTTGGAGGATTCTCACATTAAGTTGCACAACAGTGATTGGTGCTCCACCGATTGCAAGTTCATCAGCAATTGAATGTAGTATCAAGCCTAGAATCTTTGGTAATACTAGCTAGTTAATCTTGGAAACTGATAATTCCTGTATGTGATTTATTGGCGAAGGTAGTGTACATGGACTCCCAAGCTTTGCATGCCGATGTGACTGTTGTAACAATTGATGCAAGTGTAGGTTCCACCGATGCTAAGATGGTGTTTTGGACAAGTTGATCTTGTCGAAACCAGTTCATATAAGGTGGATTAGAGTGGTTTCATTGTTTCCTGTAAGTGAGATTGGAGGAGCAACAGTTGTGCCATCAAGAGGACCGAAAAGGTTGCATAAGCAACGACACATGTGCCTTCTAGGTGGTGAAGTTATGACTGCCGGCAAGTTTGATGGGTAATTGAAGGCAGGGTTAAATTGCACGATGACAATGTTGTTGGTTGTGGTATCTACATTAACAACAGTGGTATTGGGGACAATTTTTCCGTAAGACAGCAACTAGGATTAGAGGGAAAAATTGGGATCATACCCGTGTGAGCTTTTAGAGCCCTGATACCATAAAACAACTTATACCACTAGACTGAGAATGAGAAGTATTCTGCATTATTCATAAGCTGATGTAGAATATATATAAGTGTTGATATAATAATGAGTCCTAAAGGGATACAACACTAATCCTAGTTGTACAAGAAGATAAAATCACGTTATATCTCTTTTACAATGAAGGTTAAGAATTCAGAAAAATCTGGAAAATATATATTCAAAAATAATTTTATATATACTGTCTGTCTTTATTATACAATGGTGCTTTTAAACTTATGTGCTAAATTGGCCCTTAACGTGATAATAATACTTGAAGTTAATCATTACAAAGTAGTAATATTTTAAATGCTTGAGGGTAAGTTCTGGCAAAATCTTGTTGGATATTCCTTTCCATAATAAGTTTCATCTTATTGGATATGTCTTCCCATAAAATCATGTTGCATTAAGTCTACATGAAATTCTGATCGAGCTCCCTCAAATATCAAAGAATTCTTTTAACTCTTACGTACTCAATTCTGAAAAGAAATTATCATCTCCACTATATGTATCAGTATAAACACCTTGATGATTCATGAATTGATGTTGATTATGTTGCTAATCCTGAGTGATGTGCCGCGAAAGCTTGGCACATTTGATGCTTAAAAATAAGCCCGGTTTCCCCTCCTGACCAACTGACGCCATTATTTAGGTTGTAACGAACGTCCATGAAAAATTTCGGCAAAAAAATTCAAGAATCTTGTATCACCAAATATCCATGGACTATAGCACACGAAAATCGGTAAAATCCAGTTTATCCTGCTTTGGAGCTCGTTATAACTTGAAAATGCACTTGTTTGCCCTTCGGGACCAACTAACACCTTTAATAAGGTCATAACGGACGTCCATGAAAATTTCGGTAAATTTTTTTTGTAATCCTATCACCAAAAATTCATGGACTATAGCACACGAAAATAGGTAAAATCTGGTTTTTCCTGCGTTGGGGCTCGATTAAACTTAAAAATGAGCCCGTTTGCCCTTCGGGGCCAACTAACGCTATTGATAAGTTCTTAACGAACTGTCCATGAAAAATTTTAGTAAAAAAAATTCCAGAATGTAGTATCACCAAAAATCTATGGACTATAGCACACAAAAATTAGTAAAATCTGGTGTTTCCTGCTTTAGGGCTTGTTTAAACCTGAAAAAGCGCCTATTTTTCCCTCGAAACCAACTGACGCCACTAATAAGATCGTAACGGACAACAATGAAAAAATACAACAAAAAAAAATTCCAAAATTCTATCACCAAATATCCAAGGTCTATAGAACACGAAAATTTATAAAATCTGGTTTTTCTTTCCTGGGGGCTAGTTTGAACTTGAAAATGCGCCTATTATCCCCTCAAGACCAACAAGCGCCCATTCATAAGGTCGTAAGGGACGTCAATGAAAAATTTTGGCAAAACAATTTACGGATTCCTTCCAACAAAAATCCTAGACTATTATAGCACACAAAAATCAGTATAATCTGGTTTTTCATGCTTTAGGGCTCGTTTGAACTTGAAAATGTTCCTGTTTACCCTTCGGGACAACCTGACGCCATTAATAAGGTTGTAACAGACGTCCACTAAATTTTTTTGGCAAAAACAATTCTAGAATCCTATATCACAAAAGAAACATGGACCATAGCATACGAAAATCGGTAAAATCTAGTTTTCCTACTTTTGGGCTCGTTTGAACTTTAAAATACATCTGTTTACCCCTCGGAACCAACTGAAGCCATTAATAAGGTCGTAACGGACGTCCATTAAAAAAATTCAGCAAAAATAAAATCCAGAATCATGTATCATCAAAAATCCATACACTAAGCACACGAAAATCGATAAAATCTAGTTTTTCCTTCTTTGGAGCTCATTTGAGCTTGAAAATTCACCGATTTGCCCTTTGGGACCAAACTGACGCCATTAATAAGGTCATAACGGACATCCATGAAAATTTCGGCAAAAAAAAGTAGGGAATCCTATCACCACAAATCCATGGACTATAGCACGAGAAAATAGGTAAAATCCGGTTTTTCCTACTTTAGAGCTCGTTTGAACTTGAAAATGCGCCCGTTTTCCCCTCGGGACTAACTAACGCCATTAATAAGGTCATAACGGACATCCATGAAAATTTCGGCAAAAAAAAGTAGGGAATCCTATCACCACAAATCCATGGACTATAGCACGAGAAAATAGGTAAAATCCGGTTTTTCCTACTTTAGAGCTCGTTTGAACTTGAAAATGCGCCCGTTTTCCCCTCGGGACTAACTAACGCCATTAATAAGGTCGTAACAGGCGTCCATGAAAATTTTTGGCAAAAAGAATTCCAAAATCTTGTATCACCAAAAATTCATGCACCATAGCACACGAAAATCGGTAAAAGTTGGTTTTTTGCTGCTTTAGGGCTTGTTTGAACTTGAAAATATGCTGGTTAGCCCCTCGAGACCAACTGACACCATTAATAAGGTCATAACGGACCACCATGAAAAAATTCGGCAAATTAAATTACGAAATCCTATCGCCAAAAGTTCATGGACTATAGCAGGAAAATCAGAAAAATCTAGTTATTTCTGCTTAGGGGTTCGTTTGAACTTGAAAATGCGCCTCTTTGCCCCTCGGGAACAACTAAAGCCAATAATAGGGTTGTAACGAGTGTCCATAAAAAATTTTGGCAAAAAAACTATAGATTCCTCTCACCAAAAATCCATGGACGCACACAAAAATTGGGAAAATCTTGTTTTTTCTGCTTTGGGGATCATTTGAACATGAAAATGCACCTGTTTTCTCCTCGTGACCAATTGACGCCATTAATAAGGTTGTAACGAACGTCCACTAAAAATTTTGACAGAAAAATTCTGGAATCCTTTATCACAAAATATCCATGGATTATATACCACATGAAATCTTCTAAAATCTGGTTTTTCGTGCTTTGGCGGGTCGTATGACCTTGAAAATGTGCCAATTTCCCCGTGGAACCCACTGATGCCATTAATAATGTCGTAACAGGCATCAATGAAAGATTTTGGCAAATTTTTTTTTTGGATTCCTATCACAAAAAATCCATGGACTTTAGAACACAAAAATCGGTAAAATATGCTTTTTCCTGCTTTGGAGGTCGTTTGAACTTGAAAATGTACCAAGTTTCCCCTCGTGACCAACTGACGCTATTAATAAGGTTTTAATGGACGTCCATGAAATATTTCGGCAAAAAATAATTTCTAGAA